GTGAAAGCCTGTACATTATTTATATCACACTTTATCAGTAGAAAAATGCAGGAAATGACTTTTTTAATGCAGTATTTTCTGATTTATGGCACAACACAAAGATATTTCGCTCTGTGCAAACCTTTGACTCTAATATGTCAACAACATGAAACAAGAATATGAACCTGGCTTTATCCAATGTTCACACAAGAGTTCTACATCCTGACACAGGGTCGGCTCCAGAACAAATCNAGTGTCTCAACTGAAAGAGGACCACAAACACACACAACATATAAAACAATTTTGAGATTTGGGGATATTTATCTCCCATTCTTTCACTTTTTCTGACATTTTCAACCCCAAACATGTCGTTAATGTCTCTGTTTAGTGAACTACAGCAATGTGAAAGCCTGTACATTATTTATATCACACTTTATCAGTAGAAAAATGCAGGAAATTACTTTTTTAATGCAGTATTTTCTGATTTATGGCGCAACACAAAGATATTTCGCTCTGTGCAAACCTTTGACTCTATATGTCAACAACATGAAACAAGAACATGAACCTGGCTTTATCCAATGTTCACACACAAGAGTTCTACATCCTGACACATCCTTTAAAGAGGACCGGAAACACATTAAAAATATAATAAAATGTGGAGACTTTGGGATATTTATCTCCATTCTTTTACTTTTCGGGCATTTTACAGACCAGACATGTCGTTTATGTCACTATTTACCAAACAACCACTTTTTCAGAAAAATGCATAACATGATGCAATATATGTTAAATAAATGGTTTATACATGTAATTACTGGGGTTTCATTTCTTCTGATTACCTAATTTGGGCGTGCACATTTGTCGCGCGCAAACCTACCTCTTTTGGATTTGGAAAGGTTGGCATGTATGCTATGTTGTTTCCCCCTGGCTCTTCTCCCTCTCCTCGAAAAAAATTCCCGGGCATTTTTTACTTCTGTCAATCAAACATGATGGCGCTCTGGTGAGGAGCTAACATTAGCCTTAATATCAGTGCTGAAACTTTAAAAAAATGGAGCTGATTGTTTCAACTGTGAAAGGTAAGTGACGGTTCTGTTTGAGGTGTTCTGGTAAAACTACTATTACTATTATTATCATTGTTTATCGACCTAGCTAGTTTCTAACTTGTGGCTAGGTAGGTTTAACTGCGACGAGCTAAGGCTAACTAGCTAGGTTAGCTTGTGTAGGTGTGCTAATGTTAAACGTCACCTATGCTTGACTTCTTTTGATTTATGTCCTTGTCTTTGCTACCTTAGTCATGACCAAAATCAATGGAAGTGGATTTAAGATTTCAATACAGCATTATACAGCATAAGATACAATATGGCAAGCTAGCAGTAACTACGTGAGTATTAAAAATGATGTTGAATAATTATAATGATGGTGCAATCAGATAACCTAGAAAACAGGTCTGCGAATCTTTGGACATAAATTGTGCTAGTCAAGGAGAATTAAATATATATATTTATGAACTCAATAAAAACACCAAATATGTAATGGTCATGGCTTCTCAATTTATGAAGAGGTGTTAGCTTCTAGTTATTTCACATCTTTGAATACTTCCAGAACTTGTGAAGTGTATGGGATTTAACAATAATTTATCTAACAATCAATGGTCAGCAACACAAGATTAGCCTCATTTTGTAATTGAATTCTTTTTTAAATTGCCACAACACAAACATTAAAAGTGATGTTTTTTTTCTTCTTTTGCAACACTTGGAGAAACATCTGAAGTGTTTTGTTTGGTTAACATTATCTTGATTTGCTTTTGTTCATGCACAGGTCTCACAGAGAATCTGCTGCAGAAACAGAGAACAGATTACGATCAGGTGATAGAGAAACTCTTCTCTGAAGTTTCTGGCCTGGAGGATTTCCCCAGCATACCAAATCCACAGGTAGGATTGTTGGTAGAAGAGATGATGACTATAGATTGACTGTTAATGTAACTCAGACCACTAACTTCTAAACTAAGTTGAACAATGTAAAGTCAGATCTATAAACTTGGTTTGTGTTTGACTTATAGCATTGTGACTCCTTTATATTGCTATAAGTTTGTAGAATGTATTGGTTGATGCATATTTCTTTTTCGTACTCATCTTACAGCTGGAGGAGTGTGCCATCCAGCTGTGGAACTGGGCAGTTACCAAGAATGTTGGCACCACTATAAGTAAAAATCTGAAAGCTAAAGGTACAATTCCAGTTGCATTATATATTTACATGAACATTTTACTGATGATCATTGCATCTGAAATACCCAGACACACTGTCTGAAATTTGTGCCAAATGCAAGAGGAGAAACCACAGACATGTTACGTCACAATGAAATGTTTTCACCATCCTCACAGTGCGTCATGTGGCATGCAGCCTGCTGTACTGCTCTGAGCCTGAAAATCCACCAGAGGGCGTCATTCGCAAGCAGATCCTGGTAAGCAATACTGTAGGCTCCTTCTATGAGTGCTCCATTTTTCAGGAGGACGAGGTCTGTTTCTCAGCGTCTAATCTTTACAGATGGCCAGCAAGACAGGAAGAACCTGGCTGGAATGCAAAAATCCCCAGATGGCAGATAAGTTCTTACGGCTTGCTGTGAAGGTAAAGAAAGAAACTGAGAGAGATTAGTTTAGAACAAACACCAATACAGTTTTCCTTACAAAATCTACCACATCCAATATCTCCAGAGCCTGGAAACTCTCTATGCCCAACTAACATCCAGAGGGGACGGAGCAGCTGACATCACTTCATCCAAGGGAGATGTAGAAAAGGATCTGATTCGAATTATCTCTTGCCAGGCAGAATCGGTGAGCTGCGGCACATGTGATGTTCAACACCTTCAATGTGAATATTTGTTCTTGTGATATTTGGCAGCTGAGGAAGTGCTATTCTGACGGACTTGCAGTGTGAAGTGTGAGACAGTTAAAATGTTAACTGAACAATGAGAGGGGGAAATCTCATTTGTGCTGATAGAAAATGTTAAATTGTTTGCTGACATTTAACATTAAGTTCAAGTCTCTTTTTTGCAGGCCTTGGTTCAAGGGAATAACCATGATGCTGTGGTCTATATGCAGCGCTGTAAAGACATGCTGCAGCGGCTACCAAAGGATGTATAAAAACTCTCTGTTATAACTATGTCAACATCTTTTATTGTGACACACGTGTTGAAAGTGTAGGGGACAGTAACAATGAATGATTTGTTTCCATACAGACTGCCTATCTCTCCATCATGTGCTACAACTTTGGAATAGACACTTACAATCTGAAAAAGTTTGAGGAAAGTGCATTTTGGCTGAGGTAAATATAATGCTACATTTCAACCGAAAAATGCTTGGACACAATGCAGATTGAGAGCAATTTGTTATTTTCCGTTTTCAGCCAAAGCTATGCAATTGGGAAAATGAATGTGAAGTACGCACCTGGATCTGAAGTCCAGGTAAGATAATGCAAAACAACATTTTGTAAAATCAGCGGTTACAAATGAAAAAACATGAACTGTACATCATCACAATAGGCCAAGGTCTTGAGGCTCCTTGCTTCTGTTTATTTGGAGTGGGACTGTCAGAGGTTTCAGGAGAAGGCTCTAAGTGCTGTCAGCTTAGCCAACAAGGTGGGATATTATATATATTTCTCTAATTACATTATATGTTTGCATTTGAAGCAGACACTTGCAGAAAGATTCTCTATAAATGCTTTGCGCTGTGCAATTCGACAGGAATTTACGAGCGCCTCTGGGCTGTACTTAAAGATCAGAATACTCGTGAGATGCGGGGCCTCCGACGATCATATCAGAGCAGGTTAGTTATCACCCATACGTCTTTGAATTATTTATACAGAACTTCATTTTCATCGACAGCAGTGGGGCGTCAGTGGCTGAGAGTTTAGGGAAGTACATTCATGAAGGAAATGTTGCTAGTTTGTCGGATTCTCTGAGGCTACTTTTGAAAACTCAATATGGCTACTGAAGAGTTGAATTACTCCAGAATAAGTGTCTACAGTAAAGTAACTAGTAGGCTTTTTACAAGTCAGACGCTAAGTATGAGTTAAATGCACAATTAAAAGCAGGTTATATGCATCTTATTTCAGGACTTAATGAGATGCTGGAAGCTAAGGTCTCTCTTGAAGTGTGTCTGAGCACAGTGAAGCTACTCATGTCTGAAGACAGGTAATATCTTCAACATCTTTGCTAGCACTCTCACTTGGCAGAAACTCACATTGCTGAAGACGAACATGTGCACACAATCTCATTTGCTTCTTTTAAGGAATGCCCACTTGCTATTCTACTCTGGATGATATTTGCTTTGATTTTTTCCAGAGAAGTGCTTACATTTGACTATTTGAAACGTGTGTGTCAGCACTTTGAGTCGTCCCCTGACCTGGGAACTGCTCTCGTTCTGCACATTGAGCTGCTGCTGCAGAAAGGCAGGGAGCTGTTGGCCAAACAGAAGATAGAAGATATCATCACTGGTAACAAGTCTTTGAATCAAACAAATATATTTTATTCTATTTTATATAAATGTAAAAATACAAAACTATACTAGAGACGTATATCGCATCAGAGTGAACCAAAAGACGGTGCAGTGCAAACTATTTCATTGCTTCATTTTACATTCAGTGTTCGACCCGGGTACCCTGAGGCCTACTTAGAGCCCAAACTCTGATTTCGAGGTTTGACTTTGAAAAGAGAGTTCCTCAACCTGTTCACTCGAGCCTCAGGGACTCTCACGTGTGATTGTGAAAGCTGATATTCTATAAAATAACATTTGAAAGGGATTTGATATATATATATATATCCATCCAGAGACAACATCCTTTACTACACCCAGTGACATAAAAGTCATGCTTGGATAAGTGCATGGATGTTTGTTTATGTTTACATTTTATTTGAAGAATATCAGATTTTTCACAGGCTTGATTAAACATTGTTAATTTTATAATCATGTAGCTAATACGCTGTAGATGTACCTCTGTATTAGTATAACCATCTATTACACCCATACAGGCCACTATACGGGAAAACAGCTGACTCCACAGGCCCTCACAAGACTTCATGTCATGCTGTGGGATAAAGCGTCCAAACACTTTGAGGTAGGCTAAACATAGCCTTGTTTATCCTTAATTCAGAAGGTATATATACACATGTATAGTTATCAGCATGGTAGGAGGCCGCTGGGCCAAAACAGTTAGGATAAGTTCAATGCATGAGGTTTCATTTCCACACCAGGATAAATAAAGGAAACGTAATGCTCTATCTTTCTTCCCAGGCCAAAAACTATTCTGAGGCTCTTCAGTGGTATAACTACTCGTTGAGTTTTTTCAAGGCGGGTCAAACGGAGCCCAATTCAGCCAAACTGCAGAGGAACAGAGCTTCCTGTTTCCTGATGCTCAAACAACTGGAAAAGGTAAGACAACTTGAGCGCAGCAGCAGGTCAGGGAAGTGAATGTGTGGTGCAGTTGGGGGTCAAAGGTCACCAGCCACATTGGCAAATGCTCTTTTGAACACTTTATGTGTGTGATGTATGTTTGCATGCACATGAAAACTTGTGTTTTTTCAGGCCAAAGAAGCAATTAAAGAAGCAGAGAGATGTGATCCTGACAGCATTTTCACCCAGTTCAGTGTTTACAAGATTGCAGTGCAGGAGAACAATGTGGAGAAAGGTATCTGCAAACATTAGTCGTGTGATACAAGCTGTTTTGGTAGTAGTGTTATAATGTCATTACTGCCACATGTTCAGCATATTCTCCGTGGTGAGGATGTTGATGTGTACCAGCTGTAGAGGCAGTGAATGCGATGGGACGTCTGTCCAAGAGTCCTTCTGCCAGTGAGGACGGGCTGCTGGTTTCTGAGAACGCTGCCTCCAATCTGCTCAGTCTGGCTGCTCAGATTGCTTTGGAGGTAAGACTCATCACAGGACTCTACTCAAGTCGTAAAAATAGGATTTAATGGGAAACTAATGTGTTTGCTTTGGTGGACTTAGTTCCACAGTGTGTGCAGTGTGTGGGTGGGAAGCTGAAGAGGAGGATGTCCTTGTCACAGCACTGACCTGTGAAATGTCCTGATAGCAGATGTCAGAGCATGTTGCACCCAGGGTCCAAAATTAACTTTTTAGTCAATCTGCCAGTGGCTTGCAAACAAAAAACATTACTGGCTAAAATATGATTCAACCGGCCATTACACCGCGAAAGAGTCAATATCATTGGAAACAGTCATTGTATTTCCCCACCCAGCCGCTTATCAAGTTTCAAGGCTTTATTTTCATTAGCACATTAGCTACAGTGTAGATACTGTATGCTAATGAAAAACGTAGGTCACAGGCTCCTCCAACAGTGCAACATATATATAGGACATAGAACAAATAAAACAGATACAATCTGTAAATCTTTTAAACATACTTCCACCATGCGAGTGTAGGGACAGTTGATAGTCATACGTTGCATGCCACCACCTGTGTGAAGAGTTGAAGCAAAACAAAATGGCGTCATTTCACTTGTTGTAAAGAGATTGGATTAAAGTAGCTACTTGTGTATGGTAACTGACCTCAGTATTATTATCCCCATCATAGATCTTTACTTGCATTTGGCGAGTGGCGGGTTGTAGTGTTTGGTCTCACCTTTCTGGTTAAGCTTCTCACTGCTGGGTAAAAACAATCAATAACAACAATCAATAACAACAATCAATTCAATATAAAACATCACTGAATGACACGTCTCCAGTTTATCACACTAAAACATACACAAGTACTGATACATGTTAGTATTCCGTTTTGATTGGTTTGTGACAAAGCTCATATTGTTGAGCAAATAGCTCAAAACGACATGTATTAACTATTATATTATACTGCAAGTATTTGAGTTACTATATGATTGTAAACATTATGATTGGTGGGTGGTGGTATTAATGAGGGGGGTCCTGGTTCTCCTGTGACAGAACGAACAGCAGGAAACGGCCATGAAGGCTCTGGGGAGCTTGTGTGAAAACTCCAAGGATGAATCTCAGGTCCTCACTGCTCTCAGGTCTGTGAACTGCAACATTCAGAGTTAAAAACTGTGCCTGCATGATCCATGATCCATTTAGTCATTATATCACATGGGAGGAATAGAAAGCCAGAACTAAGGCTGTGCAATTAATGGTATATTAATCTCGATTACGATCTTGGCTTGCAACGATTACGAAAACAATGTAATCGAAATAAAACGATTATTATTTTTATTTAAAAAAAAAAAAGAAATGACATTTTCTTTTTTCATTAATTGGTTTGTCAGTTGAATTATATTTAAAGTTCAGGGTAATCAACTGTTAAAAACATACTGTTCACATTTTATTTTTCAATAAATGGATGTTTTCAAAGTAAATGGATAATCGTTTTTAATAATCGTGATATCAATTATTCACCAAAATAATCGTGATTATGATTTTTGCCATAATCGCACAGCCCTAGCCAGAACCTCACAGTTCTGTTACATAAGAAAGCATTAAAGACACATGTGGACTTCCTTTTAGATCAGCAAGGTGTTTAAGCTAGCAAGGCGTTTCAGGTTGGTTTCCTCTCCCTTTCTGACCCTTAGCTACCCTTTGTTTTCACTGCTGCTTTAAGAACAGAAATAATACATTTCAGATGCCACGTTTCTTTGTTTTGCTTATAGTTTGAAGTATGCAGTGTCATGTGTTGAGGCTGTAAACAAAACATAATGGCAGAGTTTCACACGTAAAGTGACAACATTTAGTATAGAAGGCTTAGGTGCTGCGGAGAGATTGTAGCGAGTCTGTTAGTTTTCCGTACGCCTCTATGATCCACTGACCTATATTCCCTGCTTCTCCACTCAAAGTGTGTCTCTGTATAATACAGTTAGTAGGTGAAAGAAAGGAGGTCAACAGCAGCTTCTCCATTCATCTTTTCACAGGTGTTTGGTTCGACTTGTGCTTTCCACAATGGAGAAATCCAGAGAGGAGATGAGGCAAGGCCAAAGGGAATTACCTAACACAGTCTGATTATACAGCAATATTCACGCAACTTTATTTAAATCACTGTCCGTTTACTGGCTCACATTTCTCTACGTAGGAATGTGGATATGGAAGTCCTGCTGCCATATCTAAAGATGGGTGAGTACATATGCATCTTGGGTTGAATCGCCTTTCTGTGAAGACATTTCTTGCTGTTCGTCAATATAAATTACATATTTATTTTTGCCCTTTCTGCAGCTCTACAGAAAGTTTCACACCAGAGTCGCCTGACTGCGGAGAAACGCACAGAGGAAGCTAACTGGTTCAGGAAAATTGGTACAGAGACCCCCTCCCTGTCACTTCAATCTGACATGGAATGCTTTCGCTTAACATGTTGCATCACCTTCACTTTGCGTGTGTGTGTGTGTGTGTGTGTGTGTGTGTGTGTGTGTGTGTGTGTCACAGCGTGGAACTCGGCTCTGCAGTGCGAGAGCTGCCCTGACAGAATGAGGGATTTCTTCGTGCTCTCATACCAGGCAAGTTCCCTTTTACGAGCTCTGTCAGGCTGATCGATCAGTATCTACAGTACGTGTGTGAGTCAATAACAGCAGAACAGGGAGTCAACATATTGTTTTAGAAAGATAAACATATCAGTGTGAGATAAAGATCCCTTTGTCCTCTGTCTTCACCGTCAGCAGAACACCTTACTCTGTCTTTCTCCATGAGATGGTATCTGAGAACAGCCCTACACTTAGAAGCTTCTGCTGTTGGGGTGTTGGATTATATTTTAGGGGTAATATTCAGAAGTGATTGTTGAATGAATAATCTTTCCAAGTCTTTCGTACCACACATTTTCCAGTTCATCTTGCATTCAAACCCGCCTTCAGACCACAAGCCGCTGCCCTACTCTCTCTCTGAAACAGCCGGTGAATGGCGTGTAGCTAAATGTTAATATGTCATGAGCTTGAACCCGCAGCTCTCCCAGCTGTGCCCTCCTGATCGCACTCTGCTCATGGGCCAGAAGACGTGTCTGCTAATGGCCGCCGCCGCCTCTCTGGAGCTCTGCAGGAAATCCCCTCACTCTGGCCAGGTGTGCCTCCCACTCCCTCAGCCCCTCTCCCACATTTAGCACGTTCTCCATGCACATGAATGGAAATGTACCACATCACTGGTGCTGGTGTAGGTGTTTCATTTTGGTCCGTCTGCCTTTGGAGACAAAGTGAACACTAGATGGCGATGATGAATCCAGAGTGACTGTTCTGTCTCTGTCCACAGACCGAGAATCTCACTCAGGCTCTGGAGCACATTCAGATCTGCTGGGAGGTCTGGAAAACCCTGAAAGCTTCAGGTACCTCAAAGGAATCATTTACCACCTAAATGGTGCTTTTTTTTAATCAATGACTTACCTGTGACCCTGAGGTTACCTTAAAAACCTTTGATTTACCGATATGCCTCCATGAGCAATAAAGAAGAGTGGGGGGACTTCTTACACTTGGGCAGGCACATAACTGTTCATGCAAAAAAATATTTTGCTACCAAGACTTAAATCATTTCGCAAGAGTTGTGACCCACTTTCTCTTAAATGAATCAAGGATGTTCTTAATTTAAGATGCTTTGTTCGATGTTTGAGAAAAACACATTTTCTTGTGTGAGCTATTTATTTACAAATGGTCATTTTCCAGTTGACATATTCACTTAGGTAGTTTTACTATCTGAATAAAAGCCATGTTTGTTATTAGCACGTCTTCCGTGAATCAAAATGGAGCTAAAGTATTCCCACCGTGTTCTTGCAGGGAGTTTCCCAAAGGACCCGACCGACACGCTGCTGCTGCTCTACGAGTTTGAAGCCCGGGCGAAGCTGAACGACCCCAAGGTGGAAACAGTCCTGGAGTCCGTGTTGGAGCTGGAACACGTTGAAACCAAGGTGGTAGAGACCATTGCAGGTACAAAGAAAAAACAACCCATGCCTTTAAAACCCTTCACTGTCATTTCTTGCCTGCCTGCTGACGCCTAAAGAAATACATGTTTGAGGGTCTGCAGTAACATCTTCCCTCTCTCCATGCAGCCTTGGCCATGGAGCCCCCTGCCCACTACCCTCTGCTGTGCAAGAAGGCCTTGAGGGTGGCTCTCTCGCTGCACAGGAAGCAACCGCAAGCCGACCTGGCCCGCTGCAGGCAAGCCAATCACCGCTCTGCATGAAAATACCCTTCACATTTCATTAGCGATGCGTCCCCCCCAAAGTGCTTATCAGGATGAACGTGTTTTCTGACTGTGAGCCTGTCTCTGTGTCCCCGCTCAGGAAGTGTGTCCACAGCCTGATCAAGCTGTCCCTCCCGAGCGGCGTGTCGGAGGTGGAGGCCCGGGTGCTGGAGGAGGTTTGGGACTACTACGAGGAGGCCCTGTCCGTCATCGCAGCCGCAGTGAGTCAGCACCAATCACACAGCGCCTTCCCCTGGCACCCGCCTCCTGCTCCCTCCAACAGACCGGCTCCCCGATATATAATTAACCCCCTCTCCTCCACTCCATGGCCGCCTGCTGTTCTAGAAGCCTCTTTTTTTTATCAATGGGCTTTCAGCAGCACTTCAATTAGCAGATGCTTCCATTCACAACCCCCTTCCTGCCAATTTGAATGTTAATGTGCTGTACAAGTCATCGTGCTGCCGGTGAGCCGCCGCTCTGAAAGAGGCATCAAATGATGGAGACATTACCCTGCTGAACAGGCAGAGACTATTTCCCCCTCTCAGTTGGAGTTATCACTGGAAAGCTTTGGAACTCTTTGGATCAAAGTGAAAGCCCCAGATTAAAGAAGTGTGTAGAAGGAATGGAACTTTAGAAATGTTAAAAAACCTTCCAGTTTGTTTACGGTCTGTTTGAGACTCCAAAGGATTAGTAAAGGTTAACAAACAGGATTTGGGGAAAGTGACTCCCCACTTTAAAAAAAAAAAAAGCAGATTTCCTTCCATAAGTTTGGCTTCAGTGAGTCACCCAGATGTCCTTTTGAACGTCTTCCTGCTCCTCTCCTCTGCAGCCGGACGACTTCCCGGAGATGGAGACGCTGTGGCTGCTGACGCGGGCCTGGAACACGGGGGTCCTGCTGTACAGCCTGGCCCAGTACCCCGAGGCCGAGAGGTGGTGCGGCCTCGCCATGAGCTTCATCCGCCACCTGGGGTCCCTGCAGGAGAGCTACGAGACAAAGGTACA